GGCAGGTAGGTAGATAGATATGAGTTACATGGATAAACAAATAATTGAACGATCAAACAAATATGTTGATATAGAAGTAGATTGATAAATAGATTAATAAATAGATAGATATGTTTCCGCTTTCATCGTTTTTCTCTCTCTTCTCCCCCCCTCCCGCTCTCTCTCTCTCTCTCGTTCACCCTCACTCTCTCTATCTATCTCTGTCAATCTTTCTCTTACACCTTTTCGTTCTTTACATTTCCTCATTTTCCCTCCCTGTGCATTTTCATTCCTCATTTTCCTTTCCTCCTTTACAAAGTCATACGAAAAATGAAGACCTTCCCTGAATATCAACGAAAAAAAATTGCAATGTAACAAAAAGAGATCGGGCTTCGGGGAAAAGCGTTGCATTATCAATCGCACAGTTGCAGGGAATTTCCTCACTCATTTCACTTTTATTTTCTCTTTTTTGTCTTCACTTAAGCTCTGCCGAAAAGGATTTCCATTCCATGCGTAGATATACATACATTTGTACACGCATTCTTCCATGCATGTGTGTGTGTGTGTGTGTGTGTGTGTGTGTGTGTATGTGTGTATATGTAAATATACATATATATATATATATATATATATATATATATATATATATATATATATATATATATATATATATATAATATATATATATAATATATATATATATATTATTATATATTATATATATATATATATAATATATATATATATATATATATATATATATATATATATATATATATATATATATATATATATATATATATATATATATATATATATATAATATATATATATATATATATATATATATATATATGTATATAATATATATATATATTATATATATATATATATATATATATATATATATATATATATATTATAATATATACACAACACACACACACACACACACACACACACACACACACACACACACACATATATATACATATACACATATACAACTATGTATACATCTATGTATGTATGAATTCACACACGCATATGTATGTGCGTGTGCGTCTATGTATGTAAACAGCAAAATCAGATGAGGCGCACAAATGGCGAATGATAGAATAGATACGCTATTTCACTTCTTGATTATTTAGGCTTTGTTAACATGTCAGTGATTGAAGAAATGTGCAGTTCATGTTCATTTGTGCGCGTCGATGTTGATGGGGATTCGTTGATGCAATTCAGCATAAGTCATCGAAATCGTTGAAAGCAAATAAACGATTTGAAGAAAAGAAAAGAAAAGAAAAGAAAAAAAAACGAAGAAAGAAATAAGACAGAGCAATCTGCGTAAACTTGGCCAGCAGACAGGAAAACGGAGAGGCGGGGCTTATCCCCAGGCATCGGCGCGGCGAGCAGGGAGTCGCTCACCCCAGTGTTGTTTGCCGAAGACCGGGAAAGCGGGGGGGGGGGGGCGAGCATGAGCTTCGTGGGATATGAGACTTAACATAATGTATGTACGCGTAAAACGAACAGGTGCTTGTAGAAATACGCACCGACTCTCTCTCTCTCTCACACACACACACAAATACACACGCGCACACTCACGGACTGCGCGCATCTCCAGTGACTGACATGTTCGCGAGGCTGAAATAATCAGGAAGCGAAATGACTAATCTCTTGTCGTGTTGCCATCTATGTCGCCACCTGATGTTGCAACAGTTTTTCCCTTTCATTCACAAAATAATCCAGAAACAAGTTTAAATGAAAGTTACATGCTTCAACATTTTCTCCTTCATTGATGCAATTGGACATCTGTACTTACACACATGCACACAAAGACGCAAACACACACACACACTCTCTCACACAAACAAGCACACACACACACATACAAGAACACACAAACAAACACACACACACAAACACGCACACACACAGCAGTACACTCACGCGCACATCGACTGTTTGGCAATCTCCTGATCTACCACACCATCTTTGAATCTCTATCCATCTGCCATTCTATTCCTCCCTCTCCCCATCCTTTTCCCCGCCACTCCCCTTCCTCCCTACCTTCTTCCCCTTAGCTCACCTCCCTCTCTCCTCCCCACGCCCTTCCCCGCCTTCGGAAACCCCGTTATCAGGGTGTAATCAATCAGACACATGTTTATGATCGCACGCAAGGCACAGGTCGTCCTTGCTCGAGCATGACCTGTGAGAGATCACTTCATTGCAAGAGAATAATATGTTAATCATGACAGCTTAATTCATGAGCCGGGCTTCAATTAGCCTCCTCAGCCAAGGTCCCAATTAGGCCCTATTCTAATTGGACTTGGGGAGGGAGGGAGGGAGGAGGGAGGGGGAGGGAGCTGCCGAGGTGATGGTGAGGGGGAGGGGGGGGGACTGAAATCTGGCGAGGATCTAAGTCTGGGTGGAAAGAGAGGTAGGCAAGTAGAGAGAGGGAGGGAGGGAGAGTGGGAGGACGAGGGAAAGAGAGGGAGGGAGGATGGAAAGGAGAGGAAAAGAGAGAGAGGAAGGAAAGGTGGGAGAGAGAGAGAGAGGGAAGAAAGGGAAAGAAAGAGGGAGGAGGGAAAGAGGCAGAGGGAACGAGTGGGAGTATGAGGGAAAGAGGGGAACGGTGGGTGGGAAGGAGGGAAAGAGAGAGAGGGAGGGAGGGTGGAGAAGAGGGAAAGAGAGAGAGAGAGAGGGAGGGTGGTAGGGAGGGGGAAAGAGAGAGAGGGAGGGAGAGTGGTAGGGAGGGGGAAAGAGAGAGAGAGTGGGTGAGGGAGCGCATGAATGATGCATGCATATATAAAAGTATAACCAATACCAACACAAACACACACATATAATTATTTCTGTATCTCTCTACCTACATATCTATCTCTCTATCTACACACACGCACACCACATGCACATATATATAATAATATATATATAATATTATTTATATATATATATATATATATATATATATATATTATATATATATAATATATATATATATATTATATGCATATATAAACACAAAATACACACAC